TGATTAACAGTTTCAATTACTATGGAGAATTCACCAATTAATTAACAAAGCTACATCATTCTGCATGCTCTTCTAAAAAAAATGCTTAATCAAATCAGTCCTTGACAAGATCAAAAAGATGCTTAAAAGGTCAACCTTCTACTAATCTAATTATGCATCCAGACAGATATTTTAGAGAATGCATTAACGGGTCAAAACCTATGTGATGTGATCACTCATTACTTGGGGTATGTGCTTGAGGAAACCTAGTAAAGTTACTAATCCAAATTTTGATAACTACTAAACTGGAATTTTATCACCTAAGCAATGACATATGGGTGCTAGAAAATTGATTTATATATGCATAAATAATTCATGGGTTAATGAAATACCTTTGCAATCGGTCTTATTTTGCTATAAAAAAAATTAACTAATATGTAAGTTCTATGATAAGAGTATTTTATTTCACATTTACCATAAGAGTTCAATTTTTGGCACATATTGCATAGTAGGAAATTGTGACCTGGTTTCGAGAGGGCTCTCTCTCTCTCTCTCTCTCTCTCTCTCTTAGAAAATTTGATATAGATCCAAATTCTTATTGAGAAGTTGGGTTTAATCCTTAGATTTGGTGATTTTAATTCAAGTCCTTTGACTTTTGTGCCACATATAATTATATTTATTTTTTAATATTTTATTTTTAAAATCATTTTTTGTTCTAATGTTGCCCCTTATGACTTGAATCGGGTAATAGTTATTTATGTCATATTGCCCATTGCATAGGTATATATATGTTTTTTTTTTTTCCATATTTTTCACAATGTGTAATAATATTTTATGTACCTTTTTTTTATAGGCAACATACAATTTTATTTTGTCTATTTTTGAATCTGACTTATAAGTAGTCTTCTAATTTATGTTCCTAGCTTATAGGTAACAAGATTTATCACTAAGTACTTTTCATTGCTAATAATAATACTATTTACCTTTATGTTATGTACATAATTTAATGTGGGTGCTTGTCTGATCGATTGGTATAATATGTGGGTTTTTACTTTTTATTGATTAAATTATATTGTATCTATATATTAAGAATATTATCAAGGAAAGAATTCAAAATTTAAATTCTGGAATTCAATTACAAGGAAATAATGCATTAAATTTATATTTTCAATGAGCTTTCCTTATTTACCTCAAAGGGTAAAATCGACACAACAAAAAAAGTAATAAATGTCAAAGGACCTACATCTAGAACCAAAAACGCAAAGATTAAACCCAATAACAACTAATCGTTTTGGACCTAAATCTAAGAAGCTGTGAGGATTTTGTGCCTCAGTCTAAGAATCCTTTGGTGCCAAAGAAACCGCAAATTCTAAAAGTAGGGTTAGAATAAAAGATTGGCAATGAATTAATTAAAATTGTTTAAAATATTTTTTTAGGACGGGCATGCAATATGCCAGCATGAGCTAATCAAGGTTAGTGGCAAATTTTGCACCAACCATGCACTCCATCTACAAAAACTGATCACAATCATATACGTCCTTATCTTAATTTCCATGGTTAGTAAGTGCTAGCATATGGTGAAGAAATTATATAATTTATAATTACTGATTTAAATGTTGGTGTTTTCAAATGAGAAATTGAGAGTTGTCCAATTGGGTATGCTGTCTTCTCAAGGGAAGCCAAAAGGGCTACAATGGCCACAACTCTGAAATTGTCAAATATTATTTTTATTATTGGGTGGGAAATGGGGGCAACATTAAGCAGTCACAATCTTATTGTTGACATTAATTCGAAGGATTTTCATATTGTTCAATGTCCTGACAGGTCCTCTTCTCCAACCCCCAATTCTCCAGTTGGCAAACTTGATTTCGTACCAACTATTGCAGCAAATATATGGTGGTCACGTAGTACCAAATTGCACCCGGAAAATGCCTTTGCAGAATCTGATTTTAGGAATGCCAAACTTGTTTGTTGCAATAGGACTTTTAAAATATATATATATCAGATAAAACATCCTCGAAACGTGATGTTAAAGGAAACCTCATCGAATCAACCATTCTCACTCTCATTTCCTCTATATCAAACAGACCCTTAGACTTTCACATATATAAAAATAATAATAATAATAATTTAATTGAGGAACGGAGAAAGCGTATGCATAGCCGCAAATCATAATTTGATGTATGATAATTAAGTTTCTTAGAGTATTTTTTGATGTATCATCAAGTATGCGTAGCTATTGGTCAAAATCATATTACATATTAATTTACTAATTTATAAGTTAGTTTGAGTATGGACTACAATCTATATGGCCACACAAAATGTGCACTCAAAGTCTCTTCTCTTCTTCTTCTTTTTTTGGTCAAGTATTTATAAATGTAATCTAGGACCTCCAATACGAAATCAAGAATACTTTTTGGTATTAAAAATGAAGTAGGTCGTAGGTCAAAAGACTTGTGATCAATTTCTACTTTCTAGATCGTATAAGAAAATCAAAGCATGCAGATTTGAAACCAGTCTTGCAAGGCAAACCTACCCGGGACCCCCAAGGACTTCGCCAGTTCTATTGCCCCCTGTTTACGTTTTCTTGGGTAGGTCTTGCAGCTGCTTTATCATTTCTGCTTGCTCTTGAGTGGAAATGTCAGCCGTCTCATAGTGATCCCACCGTCTCTGCTTTTGCAATCTAAATTGGAGAGGCGCGACCATTAGAGATTCACATGTATCTTGTACCCTTTAAATATTTGTATATTTTCGACATTAAAGAATAGACTTTTTGAAATACGATCATTTCTTTACATGAATGCGATCCTTTTTTACATAATCCCCAAATGAAGTTTCTAAGATATGTGTGCATGCCATTGCCATGCACAGACACACACATATGAGATACACACAATTCCAATATGATCTTAATTTAAAATAGCACTGCGTGTTTTTACATATAAGAATACATCCTACGTGCATGACCTCATTCATTACATCAATAAAAAGGATGTTTGTTGGATAAAATTATGTTAAATCTCAGCACATTTGTGACACAAAAGATAAGTCATATCCATCCAAATTTATTGAAATGTTTTTTTTTTAAATAATAAAAACATGAAGAAATTAGATATGGACCACAAGTTGCTCACGCGTTCATAGAAATCGGAGAACACACCAAATGTCATTAGGGATCTTTCTTTGAGAAAAGGATCAAATTGACAAAAATGAAAGATCACAAAATTGATGATCCAATTCTCAAATGGGAAACCAAGAAGGACGAAATTCAAATAAAATGTGACACATGTGTACGTGTTTATACAGAAAGGGACCATTCCTAATGCGTTCTTCCGCTCTGCATCCTAAACGGAAGTCAAAGAAAGACTCAGAGCCTCCCCCACGAGCTCACATGGCTACTAGTTTGAGATTTTGACCAAAGCCTGCTTCCAAAACTGACAAAACTTGTAACCCCTAATTTGACGGCCAAGATCTTCTGACGAAGGTACACATCCTCATGGAAAGGGGGAAAAAAAAAACACACAGACGTGCAAGGAAAATGCAAATATTCCATAGCAGAGCAAATCAAACAGTTAATCACGTTGAGCTTAAGACATGCCGCGAGTGTCTCACGGAGAATTCTGCGGCGCCGTTGTATAGAATCCACCCCCCTACCCACAAAACCCAGCCCCAAACAGTGTTATTACGTGAATGTGGGTTTCGATTTTCGCGCCATTCCATAGACTTAACGGTCAAAAAGCAGACCCAAGAAAAAAAGCGGGAATTCCCATAAATCCGAAATTTAAATTATTAAAAAAGAAAAAGATATTTTGTTCCGACGGGACAGAGACTGATTCGACGACGTCGTACTGGACTGTCATCGACGTGTCACCATTCCTTTCCAGCCACTAAACCAGCTTTTCTCGCTTCGAAAGGCCAACGGGACCCACCTTTGCTCAATATCGATATGGATATTACGGTGGAATTTTCTCTTCCCCGTGATAATTTGTGGACCCCACACCACCCCACCTCTTTCCGACTTGGCGGGAAACGCGGCCATCTTCCCGCCACTGCACTTGAATGAAGCGGTGCGTTTCAAGTGTTTAACCGCCACACCTGTCACTTTCATAACCGACGCATCCTTTCCCTTCCCTCCCTCCCTCCGCGATTTCAAATATAACGGAGCCTGCGTATTCCGTTAAGTGCAGCGCATGTCGTAGGTAGGTAGTGTGGGGAAGAGTCGTCTCTTCACCGTTAGGTACGGGACGGCAGCGTTTTATTACGCGGGTCGTTGCCACGTAGGCAGTTCGGTAGCCACAGACAGCTGCCAAGCAGCCAACGTGTTTTGTGATGGAGCAGGCACGTGATTGTCAGACCAGGATGGCCCACCCCCGAGCCCAACGTGGCCCTTCGCGAGGCGATTTAGTTGATGTCACTCCTGCTCTCGACACGTGTCGGGGCGCTAAGCATTTTGAAAAATTAATATCGCCTTCCGTTAGGGGAGGGCCGCGACATAATAAGTCCGAAGGCGTGCCTCCACGACTACGTCTAAAGACATGCGCGCCAATAGTGCGATCCCCGCCAATTAAAATACACCACGTCGTTTCGGATCGTCGTTAAGTTAATTAGCGTAACAAGAACAATTAGGGTACGATTAACTCGAACTGATGACGCAATGTTACGTCGATCCGAGTATTCCTCAACTAGAAACATCATCAAAACGACCAGTTTAACGGTCTATGTGGTGAAAATTACGGAACTGCCATTAAGAGCGACTGAGGCACAAGAAAAACCGGCCGAAAACAATGACAGAGGAAAAGCCGAAAAGCCGGTGCGAGCCGGTGTGCCCACCACGTCATGATTCCGATCGGCGAATCCCAACTTAATCAACAATCAACATGGGACCCGCTTCCTCTCACGTGGCATCCGAGATGGACGCATGAAACCAGAAGGGGGAAGGGATCAGTCGCCACGTGTAACTAATAGTTGACCTTTTAAGAGTGAGAGTGCGAGTTCGGTTAAGGCGGGCAGGCCCTGCCCATGCCATGCGAGGAGTAGTAACTAACTAGTACCCGCCCTCGCTCTTTGCGTAAGGGCGTGGTTAGGAAAATAATAAAAAAATAAAAGAATAAAATATTAATTTATATGGGTAGAGAATAAAATATGATTTATAGAAAGTAAATTTGGAAATAAATATATATGACCTCCAAAGAAGGCAAGACGCAGAGTGTTAAGAACAAGGCGTGCTTTGCGCTTGGAAACAGAGAGCTCAAGAGAGAGAGAGAGAGAGAGAATAGTGACTCATTTCCTTCTAGTTTATAGAGAGAGAGAGAGAGGAAGAGAAGGTTGGTGCTTGTGTGAGGTTTGTTCATGGCGATTTAGCCGAAGGTCTGAGAGAGCAAGAGTCTGAAGGCATAAGGCATTGAGCTTTGTTTGATACGGCGGCAAAGTTTTTGGTTCTTCTGTTTCTTCGATTCTGTCGTCGCTAACACACACACAGAGAGTTTGTGAGACTGTTTAAAGGCCAAGCAACAGCTTCGTCTTCATTCCTTGGCTTCATTTTTACCTCAAAGTCCTCTGTTTTCTCTGAAACAAATTTAGAGCCATGGAGTGGACTGCTTGTCTCGACGAATATGAGAAACTCGTCTTCCGTATGAACACTCCCAGGTAGATACATCGCTTCTTCAACATTGGGTTTCAATTTCTGATTTTGTTGAAAGTGTTAGTGGCTACCATTCACGACTTTTAAAAAAAAAACAAATTTGTTGGGTTTTCAACGGCTTCGAGTTTTTAATTTGTTTTCAGTTTGATTTTTTCCCTGGTATTATGGAATTTCCGGCTTTTCTGGGTTTAGTACTTTTTTGGATGTGCTGTGATCTCGAACTTTCTCTTGCTTTCTCGAGAAAATTTCACCGATCCAGATCTCTTCTCGATTTCCCCTCTTCATAGTGGTGCTGCCAACTTTACTAAATTTCAACCTTACATTTATTTTCGCACCTAAGTTTCATAATTTTTTATTTTCTGACTTTTCTTACAATTTTCCCGTTTCATCAGACTTTTCAAAGCATTTTGAAATTTAAACACTTGGGGAAATAAAAAATAAAAATAAAATAAAATAAACGAAAGGTGGTGTGGTGTGGTGTGGCTTTGGTGGTGTTTCTCTGACTTGACCATTCGCTGCTTTTGCTTTGCAGGGTCGTGATCGATAATGCCGTCTGCTCCACTGCGACTTTAGTCAAGGTTTGCTTCTACGAAAACCCAAATGTCTAATTTCAATGCCTTCCGAAAACCCAAAAAGAAGGTTTGATTTTTTCCAGAACACAAAATTGACTAATCGTGTATCAATCGCTGTTTTGTTTTTGGATTTTCCAGGTCGACAGTGCTAGAAGGCATGGGATTCTTCTCGAGGCTGTTCAGGTCCTCACGGATCTTAACCTCACCATTAAAAAAGCGTACATTTCTTCTGATGGACGGTGGTTCATGGATGGTAAGAAAATCAAATTATTCTCTCTTTTTTTTTTCTTTTTTTTTTTTACTGTTGCATTTTATTTCTTGAATTTTGTTTCTTAATGAGACTTTTCGGTTTCTGCTGCAGTCTTTCATGTCACTGATCAAAACGGGGATAAATTAACGGATGAGAGCGTCATTCATTACATTGAACAGGTAAGTTAATTCATTCAATCCCAATTTAATGAAAAGACATTATTGTTAAAGTTTATGATCCTTTACAGAATTGAAACTGAAATTGCTTAATTTCTTTGTATTTGACAGTCACTTGGAACAATTCACTTTGGGACATCCAACTGCAGCAACGGTTTAACAGCACTTGAGCTCACCGGAACAGACCGGCTTGGCCTTCTCTCCGAGGTCTTTGCAGTGCTAGCTGACCTGCAATGCAATGTGGTTGAGTCCAAGGTGTGGACGCACAATGGCCGGATCGCCTCCCTAATTTACGTTAAGGACTGTGATTCTGGTTGCCCAATTGAAGACTCACAGAAAATTGACAGAATTGAAGCGCGGTTAAGGAATGTTCTCAAGGGAGACAACGATATTCGGAGCGCGAAAACCTCTGTTTCCATGGCAGTTACGCACACCGAAAGAAGGCTGCATCAAATGATGTTTGCAGATCGTGATTATGATAGGAAGCCCATTTTGCAGCACAGCACCGACTCACCGGTGATCACGGTGCAGAATTGGGCTGAAAGGGGTTATTCGATAGTAAATATTCAGTGCAAGGATAGAGCAAAGCTTTTGTTTGATGTTGTTTGCACGTTGACAGACATGGACTATGTGGTATTTCACGCCACTGTTAAAACAGCAGGGGATAGAGGACACATGGTATGTATCTATTTTCCTTATTAGTTTGGTTTATGGCATGTTCTGGTTTTATTATAATGTTGAAACATGAAAATGACTTGGGTTTTGTGGTTGCATTATGTTTCAGGAATTTTACATTAGGCACACTGATGGAACCCCAATTAGTTCTGAACCCGAACGACAGCGCGTAATCCAATGCTTACAAGCTGCCATTCAAAGAAGAGCTTCTGAGGTATTACTTAAATTGAATTGTTAATCATTTGATTTTGTTGAATGTTCCATGATGTTGCAAATGCTAATGGTTCAATTGGGTTATTGCATTTCAGGGTGTGAGGCTAGAACTATGCACTGAGGATAGACCAGGTCTTCTAGCATATGTTACAAGAACGTTCCGAGAGAACGGTCTAAACGTGACAAGGGCCGAGATTTCCACAACAAAGGCCAATGCCCTGAACGTTTTCTATGTGACTGATGCAATTGGAAACCCTGCAGATCCCAACACCATTGAATCAGTGAGGCAAAAAATAGGGTTGAGTGACTTAAAAGTGAAGGAACTGCCATTGATTTATCATGCAAAGGGGGAAAGGGAGGAGCAAGCAGTCGGTGTTGGTGGGGCAGTCTTGTTATCACTTGGGAGCCTAGTGAGAAGGAATCTGTACAATTTGGGTCTCATCAGATCCCACTCTTGAGGAAGTTTCCATTTGGTTTGTAGGAAGTTTTTATCATTCACTGTGCTGGCTGGCATATGATATGATTCTTTGCTTGATAGTAGTTGTTATTGTAGGTGGGTTTAGTTGGATGAATTGATAGGGCACAAATTGAGGACAAGGCCCACCATTTTAAATGCTTTTGTTTGAATCGGTAGAGGGAAGTTTAGATTTGGTGGGTAGTGATATTGGTTTGTTGCTGGCAGAAGGAAAGGGAATGTTAGGTAAAAGAAAATAGTAGAGTTTGGGGGTTTATACAGCACCACACATGTGTACAGGAGAAGGAGAACTACTTGTTAAGTATTAGCTTTAATGGTTGACTTTATTTTTTTAATTAAATATTTATTTTTATTAATCTCTTTTGCCATCCCACCCACAACCTTTTTTTTTTTCCTTTTTCACTTTTGTGTGCAATGGGGGAAGAATCTAATCCCTCAGTTAGTATAATATGAAAGCTCAGGGAAAATTATACATCACAAAAAGAATAAACACAGAAGAAAATCAATGGTTGACTGTTTGGAACTTTGAAATCCAAATGGTAAAACAGCTATATGAGAAAAACCAAGTTCTCTAGAAAATGTGAACGCATAGAATCATATGAACCCTAATAACGTCAAATCAACTTCAAACATGTGACCAAGTCTAAATAAGAGAAAATATGGGTATTTTGCATCCGAAAGTCTTCTAGTTTCTAAACAAAATATATTTTTTATACAAATAGCAAAGCCGTCGGCTGTATCCGTGACTGTCGGTCCTGGTTTTTAATATTTTTTTTTTTTGTGTTTTGGTATGAAAACTTCAAGGAAAGGCAAATGGATGGAAAAATAAATTTTTTAGTGTTTGGATAGAAATAAAATCTCAATAAAATATTTGAGATATTGTTTTCCATCTCCTTTTCTTATAATGAATTATTTTTATATATGTGTCAAACTGTGATTCACAGAAATAAGTAATATCTCCTTATCGATAAGGAGGCAAGTAGTATTCATAAAATACTCATGTCTTTTATACAAATTTTTAATTCCCTTTATTGGTAAGCAATTTTCATCCATTTCTTCGCTACCAAAATGCACATAATTTTGTCTACATATAAATTGCATAGCCAAAATTATATGTATGGGCAGTGAAAATTATATCCGACACAAACGACGCCTAATTGGCCAACCGACAAGATGGATAGTCTTATATCTGCATGTTTGGACAAACAAAAATCTAAGAATTTGATGATTGAAATTTAATATATTTGAAGTAGGTTTGGGTCCAAATCCAATAGGGATTAGTGGATTAACAAACCAATTCAAATTATTCATCAACTGCTTGAGACAAATTGGATTTGAAAGTGGTCAAAGGCAAGAAAAAGAGAGAGAGAAATTATTGGAATGGATTAAATAAAATAGTTTGGAGGGGGCGTTGGTGTTAGAGAAAGAACGGCTTGTTGTCTTTAGCCTTTGCTAATGTGTTTATGTGTCCAATGCAAACACCACGACTCCCGACAGTTGGTCGAACAATTTCTACTTGCAGCTTTGTCTTCTTCCATGCCTCCCTATTTTGCTATTCTACATACTCATTTAAACATAATCCCATATTTTGATCATATTATTTAGGCCTACGTTGTAAAAGATAAGGGTTTAAAATAGAATTGTCTAGTTAAATTTCTTTCGAAAGTAACTTTTATGTTGATGTAAAGGGACGTGTATACTATCCTGATCAACTAGCTGAACTCACATGTGCAAATATTTTCAATGTATTGTTGACTTGTATAAGAAGATGAAATCATAATAGTGGCAACCAACTTCTCATTGAGTTGTTTTTTTCTTCTTTTTTCCATTTGGGCATTCAATTTTAACCCTCCAAGAGCCACTTTCTACTTTCCTCACATTCAATCCAATGGCCAATGGGCAAATACCTCTAGTTCATCAAGACTTTAAATTTTGTGGTGTAGATTGTGGTCCATGCTCCATATAGTGAAGAGCTCTTTAGAAGATTAGGTTTGGCAGGTTGGGAAGAGCCCTGCCTTTGACTGCGCCGGTGAAAACGCTTAGCTGGCCTTGCATGTGCAGTGACAGATTAATTTACATTTCTTTTGTTTTTTTGACTGAATGAATCTACTGCAGCCCTGAGAATGAATCACATGCCCCAAAGTTAATTTCTCACACTATTTTTTTTTTTACTCTCTCTCTCTCTCTCTCTCTCTCTCTCTCTCTCTGGGGCTCTGCTTTACATGGACCTGTTTTCTCTCGTCCTTTTTATCTGTGCCCTTCTGGTACCATGGTCTCTAAACTAGCACATGAGAAGTTTGATACCTTGTGGTTTTTTGGGGGCTCAAAAAGCTGAAACAAGGGCCCGGAAAAGTCATATGTTTTGCCATAAAAAAACATACCTAGCCAGGCTAGCTAGTTGAGGAGCTACCTATGTGCCTATGATTTAAAGGGTGGCACATGCATTGTCGATCCAATATTGGAAACTTTCAACGTTGCAAGAGGCAAGGCAAGGCAATCTTCTTGTCTTTCCCATGCGGCTTGGGGCTATTGCAAAAGGCTGTTACCAACTAGCAAAATCCTCAGCCTGTCGCGATCGTTTTCAATTTGTTGTGCATGCGATTCTCTTTTGAATCTACTTCGACATAGAATCTGCCCTTGACATCCATGTTTTAATGGATCAGTATTTATTTCCACAACGACAGTATGCCCTTTTGGTTGACAAATATGTATACAGATATTATGAATGTAACATGCATGATACATGACTAAATGAGGGACCACGTTGGTTTTAATCGAACAGAGGACCACATTACATTCAAAATAAGATCCTGCTCTGCTTATATTTTCTAGAATTTAGAATTAAACGTTTTAGATCGAAGAGCAATGCCGTATCCAAAACGGACCTCGTCTGAGCTTGCTATTTTGTTCCAAGTATGTAACACAAGTTGAAATTTGTTCAAGTAGAAATCTGGTGTTGTCCATATGGGGTTAACCATCCTTAGAATTTCATGCATGTTTTAGACTGATATTTTTAGATTTTAAATTGAAACCCCACGTCTTTTATCTTGTCCTTGCATTTCTGTACCCTTTTCTCCATGAATTAATACAGGACAAGGATCCATCCAAACCAACCAACTCTCTGTCTTGACATTTACCTCATAACACACATTCACTTACCACATTAATTAGTCACCAAGAAATTGACAGAAAATAAGCCAAGAGAGATTAGCATACTAATAGACAGAATTAAAGACCTATTAGTTTAATCAAATATCATCAGTCTGTTCAATTGTCGTTTCATTCCAATTGCCAGCTACCCAATTCCTCCAACAGTTTTTGATCGGAGAATCAAACAAAGTAACTGCTAGGTTCTTAGCAGGACTTGTTTGTTTACTATAGGCCGCTTATCTTTTGTTAGTGGAATTTATTTTTTAAGCTTGTCTATATAGCTCTGGCCAATTCTAGTTCTCACGTTCTTACAGCTTTGCAGTTCTTCACCATGCATGCATGCGTGTAAAGATGTCCTATACTCTTATAAATTACATAAGTATATTATGCAGAGCATGCCCCCCAGTTTATCTAGGAGCACTTTTGTTTTTGTAAACAAGAATAAAGGAGAGAGATTCTCAGCCAACTTTGATCAGGAACCTTTTGTCGGGAGAAAAACTTCGGTGGAGACTTTGTGCCAGTTTGAGTGACATACACCGTCTAGTTAAATCATGTCATATACATATGTTATAATTATGTTTCAATTATAATGTACGAAAATGTTATACATGTGTGTGCCACGTTGGTTGTTACGAAATAAGCATATTAAATTGTTGTAAAGTATCATTTTACTATGGATTACATCTCTTTTTTCTGTCCCATATCCTGAATTCTTGTGAAATGGCCTCTTGGAAAATTACCGACTTCTGGATGAGCATCCTCTTTCTCTTGCGCTTTCCCTTTGTGGTAACTTAAAACTTATAATAATCTTCGGCACTAGTGTCCCATCTGCATTAGTCCTCCTCCCTACCATTATTCCAATGGCAACTGAAAAAAATATATAATTATTTTAGTTTTAATCTTACAAAGCCACCAAAGTTGGAACGAAAGAATCCAACAAAAGAGAGACTTGGTTTAACATAATGTCTTGGCTGCTCATTTAACTCCTCTTGTGTTTGTAGATGGAATCTAGCAAATTCTTGCTTGGCCTTTTCTAGTTGTAGGCATATCAATGACGTTTCCAGCTGATGCAAGCTGCATCCAGAAGAGCATATGCTGATCCAATGTTTCAACAGGATAGGATGCTCTGTGCTTAGGCATGTTTTCTGACAAAATAAAATTATTATCAGCCACTTTTTTGTCGTATAATCTGGATTGATATCAATTATGTATAAATTTGAACATCCCTAGTTGTCATTTTAGATAAGATATTTTAAACCCAACTGGCTTTGGCTCATAAAGATAGTGATGGTAGTGGTCAAGCCAGATGTTATTTTTCAAATCTTCATTCATATATATATCATCATTTGCAAAAAATCGGAAATAGTTTAGCCATTTTAGTATTCATATTTTGTTTTTAATCTTATCTAATGACCAAACAGCTTTGTTTTTTTCCGCACATTTTAGATGACCAAACAGCTCCAAAAAATCAGAATGATTAAGTTTTTCGCAGGAATGACCTAATAAAATATAAATGGTTATGATCGTTGAATTGAACTCCCTGCATTATTCTTGAAATAAAGACATACGTGTTTATACCAGCTCATGCCATTCTTTAGGGAAGTAATTGTGCAGAGTTGTCACATACCAAATATCTCCCAATTAAGTTTCTGGAAGATGCAGTTATAATAATGTTGCACCTACCATATAGTAGATGAGTTGCAGTTATGTACGCATGAGGAATAAAGCTCAAAAAAACTTCTTACAAGAAAGAGCTAGCAACTCAGATTTAAAGTGACATGAACAAATATTGAATCTGAATGTGACTTAAAGATCTAAAGTAAATACGATCTTCCAACATATTATTCCTGATAGCAGGTTGGCATTGAGTGTAAAACATAAAAACTTATCAGCATTGTCGAGTTGTCGA